GCATTTTCAAAATATATTTATGGTCACCGTACATATAACGGTAATTTAGAGAAATACAAAATCTTCGATAAATCAGTAAATATTAAAGCTAATTTATTCAAAATTTATGCTTGCAACAATTCTTAACCAAGAAATACGTTTATGATAAAATTTTGGAAAATGGGCGTGGCACCGCCCACTTATGATCATACATATGTATCTCGGTAACCGTTATACCAATTTGTACCAAACTCGGTATGGTTATTGTGTTTGCCAAATAAAAGCAAAACGTTGAAAATTATTGAAATCGGACTAAAATTGAGGCCACTTTTCATATAACGGTAAATTTCAGAACTGCTTGAAACTTCAAAATTTCGAAATTTAAGGACTCTAATTTACTCAAAATTGATACGCCCCGGGTTACCATGTTATAGACACTTCTCAATCTGGGTGGTCTTCAATATCTACATTCTTCATTGCTTCTCTTTGTGTGAACTATTCCGTGGATTTAGTACATCACATTACTCTTATAGCGTCAAACCCTTGTTTTAAGTTTCTAATTATTATTTATTACATTGGCTGCAAATCCTTAAAGATCTTTGTTTTTGTTAGTGTTTGTTCTTCAAAACTAAATACAAGCGTAATCCACAAAATTGTTTAGCTTCTACATATCTTATTTTTAATATTTTTATAGAGCTTTGTACCACGATTGTTTATTAGGGAACATTGAAAAAACAACAACGTCTAAGCGGTAGAAGTTATAGCAGCTATTTCGGAGATCACCACATCTCCTCATCAGACTTCTTTTTCCTAGACTTCAGCAGGTATCGAATCAGCGTAATCGATGTTCAAAGTCAGAAGCGTTAACAACTGAGCTGTTATTCAACCAACTACTATCAAGTGCAGCAGATTTGCCGCTATTTAAACTCGACAGTGTGGTTGTTGTTGTCAATTCTATACATCCATTTGCTTATTTGCTTTATTGTATAGTTTCAGGCAGGCTCTTCCCAAACTATGTATTTGTCAATGTTTATTAGGAAAAATTGAAAAAGCAACAAAGTCTAGGCGGTAGAAGTTATAGCAGCTATTTCGGAGATCACCACATCTCCTCATCAGACTTCTTTGATAGATTATAGATTTGTATTGGTTTGGTTGTGCTCTTATTACTTCACCTCGTATTATCATGATAAAAACACATGATTCAATAACACAAGGTTATGTAATTTGTGACAGCTAAAATTTTACACTCCTTTATATAGATTTGTATTTTGGAAGTAGGAGAAAGGGGAAGAATGTGATCGCCTTTTGCGCAAACGGTAGTAGAAAGGTACTAAGAAAGTGCGCAAAGTATACAATTAGATTTAATGTGTATTATTAATTATATGTGAATTTGCAATATATTTGGTGTTTTAATGGAAATACTAATCAATACGTAAAAATATAGATTTCTAATTTAAGTTATTCGTCATTTCCTGGAACAAATCTAGAATACTGACCGTTCAGCTATACAAAAACAAAAAATGCAGATCTAAAGAACTTTTTACGCTCATTTCAACCATGTAAAAATTATTTAGCGCAAGTAAAATATAAAGCCTTTTAGAAGGTTACAATTAAATTCTTTGATTTTTTTTATATATTAATATCTTATGAACCACATAACCGAATAAAAAACTAATAACGTCACCATAAAGAAAATCGATTTATCTTTCAGCTGATATACATAATTGAAATTGTTTTTTATATATTTAAACCAAAAACCACTAAAAAACGAACGTATGTTGTTTTTTCATGAAATAACCTTTTTTGAAAAAAACTGCAGGTTTAATGGTAAATAAATTTATATTATTTGGAAAGTGCAAGCTATTATCTTTAACTTGACATACATATTTTATCATGATCTACATTGGGTTTTAAGAATTAAGTCATAATAAAAAATATAAGTAAACCAAGCAAATAAACCTCTTATATCTTCTTTGTTTATTACCTGCGCCAAATAAATTTGGTATCGTTGAAATCAGCGTAAAAAGTCTATCAGTCGGCACTTTTGGTTATTTTATAGCTAAACAGTCGCTATTCTAGACTTGTTCCAGAAATTTACGCAAGCGAAGGTGATGCCAACGAATATTTAGTATGAAGAATTTTTGGTTTTACTACTAATACTAAACTGTACTATACTAAAACTGTAGAGTGAGCAACATTCTGCACAAGTAAAGGAGCCGATTTTATGTGTGGGAGCGAGAAGAATGTTTTATTACAAAACCTTTCTATTATTGAATCATGATAAAAACATAACAAGGTAAAACGATGTTTCCACGACAAGTGATTCGCTCTCCCATTCGTAATTCGTTCTCTCATTCGTGATTGGCGCCCTAATTACGAACCGAATCACGTAATTCGCAATACAACATTTTGAGAGCGAACCACTTCATTCGTAGGTGATTCAGATCCAATCACCATGCGAATCAAGAACAAATCGTTGTCTGCTCTAATTTTTATCGATAACGGCTGTCAAAACACATAGACCACACACATCCCCACCAGCACAAACATTGAAAAAATAGCTAGATTCGTTAAAACTATTGATTTAGCTAATTAACCACTACAAATTTTTTCTCCATCGTTGAAATGCACAATAAACAACAAATTAAACAATAAACAAAAGCAAAGAACAAGAAGCAGAGTTACAAAGTGAATCAAGAACGTGTCGTGTAAACAGATTGATTCGCCGTTCGTAATTGAGAGAGCGAACCACGTCATTCGGTGGTCGTGGAAACGCCGTTTTAAACCATTGAGGGGCAGTCTGACGTTTGATAGTATTATAATTTACAAATTCAAAACACAAACTCACACACACATTCCCATTTTCAATCACAAACAACAAAAATTGTGAACAATTTAATTTTTTTTTTAATTTTATATCATTTTAAAATGCTTGCAAAAGTCAGAAAAAAATCATGGAAAAGAATTGAGAGAATGAATTTACCTTGTAATGTTTTTATCATGGGTATTATCCCACCATGGTCCAATACTAACAATAGAAGTGTTTTCTCGGGAAATAATCGGGATCCGAAAATGAAATTTGCCCGCAAATGCAGCAACAACGATATAATCCTGATAGAGATCTGGTTCAATTTACGATCCGCACTGGTTGTTTTGTTTCACCGATAATTTGCAGCACGGTGATTTTTATACCCGAGCGCACTTGTGCACAAGGGTATATTAATTTTGTTCACATAACGGTTGTTTGTAACAGCCAAACAGTGTTGCCGCGCATAATTTTTAGTGGTAGCCAAATTCCGTTAAAAAAAAGGGCTAAAAAAGAGCTAAAAAAATCGTTGTGGCTAAAAATGGTAGCTAAAATTTTTTACTTACATATACATATATAAGTATATACGTAAACATTTTCCATAAGTAATGGTATATAAAAACAATGAACTCTGGAAAAAAGCTAACATTTTATCCAACCAAAAACCTTTTTGTATAAAAGGGGAAATATACGACACCAGCTTGGTGGTTCCATCAAGTGATTGTACCATCAGGCTCGAAGCAAATAACTTACCAGCATGCTGGTACAATATTTATTTCTTTAAAAATGAGGTTGAGGAAAGATCGAAATGATTAGAGTCGGAATTTCATAATTTTTCTAGCATTTTGTTAAGCATTGCTTTTTTTTGTAATTCACAACTGCAATATCGTGAACGTAATCTTCCACAAACACGGCTTTGACTCATATAGGGCAAGAAATTTCCGCCAAAATACTTTTCACTTAGAAAATTGAGCTAATTTCACCACTCACGACACCAGTATGCTGGTACAATCACACCATAAGAACATACACGGTCAAACGACTTGATGGGTCGTTTAACAAATTTGGCATATTAAGGGCCGTAAACTTATCTATTTTAAACTATAGTTAAATCGTTAACAGATAAGTTAACAGCCCCACACTTTTACAGTATGAATGGATGAAAGCGTAAGGAGCATACGATACATATATGTATATATATCAGTCTTTCTTAGTTTAAAAATTCATCTCTTACATGACTGCAAAAAAAAAACAAATTAAGCATATACAACGTTTTCATGCCAAGTATGAATAAATTCTAAAAACGGCTAAAAAAAGGGCTAGGGGCAATTTTAAATTTATGTGGCCAAAAAAGTATGTGGTAGCTAAATTTAGCCACCAAAGGGCTAAAACGGCAACACTGCTTACAACAAAACAAAGTAAATCAAAGTTTGGAACCCATTAAAGACTCGTAGGCTTGGAATGTAGTCTACTACACTGCACATTCTTAGTTTAGGTTGTGGTATTTCAAGGTTGCCTGTGTGTTAATTTTTTCTTTGTGTACCTAAAACATGTAAGGATGCATTGTACGCTGCGCTATTTCGACTACATACAAAGTATGTGTTAAAAAGAATCACGAATAACAAATCATAGCTTAAGTAGTGTTTGCATTGTTCAACTTTGCGTTCAACTCTACGCAGGGTTGCACGAAAAAAAGTTGAATAGCTAAATGTTGGCTGGCGACCAACTTTGTTGAAAGCGATTAGTTGAAAGGCCGTTCAACCAAAAGTTGATTGGAAAGAAGAAAAAAAAACTATGCAAACGCCTTTTTATGGCGAATATTTTGATATTTTTAGCCATTAAACTTTTTTTCCGTGCAACCCTGCGTTGAGTTCAATGCAAATGTTGAACGCAAACTTGAGCAATGCAAACACTGCTTTACACACGCACACACACACATGTATTTTTTTGTGTAGGTACATAGGCAATCTTGATATAACATAACAAATGTATATATGCATCTGTATACATATTTTCTGGCCTGTTAACGAAGTGGTTAGTATTTATAGTTTTGTGTTTATAAGGAGTATTTTAGTTTGGGGAAAAACGTCTATTATACATGTATGTTGTATGTATGCACAACAGGCAAATTTTAAACGTATATTTAAAATTTGGCAAAAAATGCATATTACTATCTGTTATTTCTGGTTTTTTGTATTGTTTCGTTGTTTTTCAGTTAATGCGATGATACAAAATGCCCACATATTGAGATTTCACAACTTGAATGTAGGTTTGACGTTGAATATGAATGGCAGTCTGACCAAAACATCGGTCAGTCAAAACTGGTGAAACTTTCTACACTTTTAACTTGTGCTTGGAAACTACAAAGCAAAAAATTTTCATGGAAAAATTAGCCGAAAAAACAACAAAAAAACAAGTAAGAGCAGCGCTGTCTTCGGCTATGCCGAAGGCTTCATACCTTTCATGAACATCTGCAAATTTTACTTTGACAGATTACTACTTTTGAATACATCTGCATACATCGATAGAGGAGTTACATACTTATATAAAAAATCGCATCTAAACAATCAGAGGTATGGAAGATATACTTTATATAGCACCAATCTAAGTGATTTTCACCGCTATGTGATCGGTATGTAAACCGGTAACACAATTTATTGGGTTTAGTTTCGTACATAAAGGAGATATATGGCAAAAACTGGTATCTTAACAATCAGTGCTATAGGAGATAAAGCTTATACAGCATAGATTTTGACGATTTTCTCAGTAGACTTTGTATTATTATTTATAAAATATCTTACGAAATTTATCGGTTTTAGCTGTTCAAATAAAGGAGTTTTACAGTAAAATCCCATATCTGAACAATCAGATGTATGGAAGATATATGTTGTAGTCATCCGATCCTTGTTATTTTCACTGTAAGTATTCTGTTAATAATGAGTGAAAATGGTGCGAAATTTCATGTTCCTAGCAGCATAAATGGAGGAGTTATGATAAAAGACCTCATATCTGAATAATCAGTTGTATGGGGGCTGCAGGTTATAGTGACCCGATCTTTCTTATTTTCGCTGTAAGTCTTCTGTTGATAATGAGTGAAAACAGCGCGAAATTTCATGGTCCTAGCTACATAAATGGAGGAATTATAACGAAAAATCTCATATCTGAACAATCAGTTGTATGGGAGCTATAGGTTGTAGTTACCCGATCTTTATAATTTTCACTGTAAGTTTTCTGTTGATAATTATTGAAAACAGTGCGGAATTTCATGTTCCTAGCTATATAAATGGAGGAGTTATAACGCAAAATTTTATATCTGAACAATCAGTTGTATGGGAGCTATAGGTTATAGTGACCCGATCTTTGTAATTTTCACTGTAAGTATTCTGTTGATAATGGGTGCCAGAATTGCAAAATTTCATGTTCGTAGCTGCATAAATGGAGAAGTTATAATGAAAAATCTCATATCTGAACAATCAGTTGTATGGGAGCTATATGTTATAGTGGTCCGATTCTTCCGGTTCCGACAAATGATTAATACATTATAAAAATACACCCACCTACCAAATTTGATCCGGATATCTCGAAAACTGAGAGACTAGATTGCATACAAACAGACAGACAGACGGACAGACGGACATGGCTAAATCAACTCAGCTCGACGTTCTGATCATATAAGTATACATTTTCATGGGTCTATCTCTTTTTGTTCTGGTACTTACAAACATCGGACCAAAGTTATAATACCATTTCATGCTCATGAAAGGTATAATAAAACATTGCACATTTACCTAAAAGAGACTAAGCCATATTAAATTACATTCAAGAATTTTTGTACAAGTGTAACATAGGGAGAGGTACAAACATATGTATGTATGTATGTTTAAAATTAATTAATTAATTAATTTGCTTACTCGTGTTTTTTTCTCCGTGCATAGAAGCTTGTTTATCATAGATCCATTTCTAATATAATGAACAGTTAGCGCCAAATATGTTTTCCTCAAATAGTTAACTGTCCAAAGATCCGTTGTCAGACCATATCCATAACGTTTGGCAAGTTCTAGATCGATCTTAGCTTTATGAAAATACGTCTGGTACACATTGTCAATATTCCTTGCAATCGTAGTCGGATGCGGTAGCGCGCTCTGCATGTTTACATTTGTCCATATGTTGCACCAATGCCAATAAAATACTCGACAAGTTTTTGAAGGCCAAAGTCATCTACTATTTGGTACGGTCTGCAGTTCTTAATAACCCATTCCGTTACAATCTCTAACAGTTCTTTTTTATGATCTGCACTGTAGATTTTTTGGTGTGTTTAAATACATTGAAGCAGCTTTTACACTCCACAATATTTGGAATTTTCTCATTTGAGTCATTTATAATAAATCCAAATACTTCCCAAACTTTACTTTTTGCAATAACTTTTGAAATTTGGAATTCGCCACTAATAATTTTTTTTCGTATAGTAGCATTGCTAAAGTTGCTATTTATGACAACTTATTCGCCGGTTAATGACTGTAAATAGTTTTACACCAAATTAGAAGCCAGAAATAATACATTAACGGTACATAGATTTAAAAAGCTGCTTAAATACAAAAATTGCTTAAAATGTCACTTTACACAACTGTTTAAACCTTTGTTATTTTCTATAAATAAGACCGTAAACATTTCCTTACATCGTCAATTTCCATTTTATAACTTTGTTCTTTCAATTTCGGTGACCAGAGCAGCAAACGATATCAACTACTACGGTAACAACTAGAAATGAAATTTAAAACGCAAGTACTTACAGGTATACACAGAGTAGATTTTCTACTCCCTTTTGGCAGCAGCAAACATCTCTCGTACGCGATGTGGGAAAGTAGAGTACCTACTTTGGTGGAGTAATAGCAAGTACGTCAAGTATTTACTCTCTCTTTAGATCAAAACAACATAGAAACATATAATGAAAGTTAACGGCCCTAATAAAGGAAAAAGTTGGTAAAATTTTGAATGTATTGTACAAAATTATTATTATTTTTTTTATAATTTAACTGTGGATTTCTGAGCAAAAAATATAACTTGCTGCGAGCACTCTGAATATTAAAAGAAAATTTCGTTGATTTCAAGTAGAAATAAAATAAAAATATTTTAATTACGTACGCAAATGAAAAGAAAAATACGACTTTACGAAAATTC